ATAATACACTTATACATTAAACCCCTTACATAAGACATTATACCATTACCACCACCATCGCTGCTGGTGTATGCTGTGTGTACGAATACTTACAAGTCTCGAAAACTTGCTGACCACATCATATTATATTGGTGACGATAATGCGATTCCTACCTTCCCATATATATATACGTTTGTGGTCGTCGGCAGCAAACCACCCCTATTACACACGTATTAAAATACAGTCACGGTATATTATATACATTATAGGTATATAGTCAACTATATAAACATTAAATGAGCAGTAATAGGGGTTAAACTAGGGTATCCGGATAGTTTATATGGTTTAAATACTAAAGTCGCACATGATGTGATTCGTATGTGGGCAAGGTAATACCACGACGAATATAATATTATACGCATTATTGTATAGGTACACTGCTACACTACTACATTGTATTATTATTGTTGTGTATTGATGTATTATATAATATAATATTATTAAATTTCCAAATCTATTACGTATAGACTGAGACACTGAGTTGATATAATTGTAAATAATATATTAAACATATGATGCATATAGCCATATAGGTACGATAATATTATTGATAAAATATAATACTCTTACGCAAGTAAAATTATCCAACTACACCTATATTCGGTAATATAAAAATTTGTCGACAACAAAATCATCTATTCATCTGAGATGCACATAATAATAATAATAATAATAGAATATCTTACGAATTTGATAAAATTTTTTCCAAGTAACAATAGCAGCTAAAATTATACACATACCTTCTGTCGTTTATTTACCATGATGCTGTCCAATTAGATTTCGACTGCAGGTGTTATATAATGACGTTGAAAATATATTTATGTGCAATACATTGTACTGACATAGATTTTAATTTAATTTTAAAGTTAAAAAAAAATTAACAGAAAGCTTCTAAAAGATTTTTTAGAAACTATTATATATTTATATAGGTAACTCACTAAAAAGGTAGTAAATGTACTATTCTTTTTTGAAAAAAAACAGATCTAAATCTAGCTTACAATATACATAGGTACAAGGCCTTACTCAAAGAATATATTTTCGAACGGAGGGTGAGGTAAATGATCAACCCAAGGTACGGCATTGTTTAGTATACATATTGCATATACACATAAAAGGTAGTATAAAAAAACAAACGCAGTTGAATAAGCTAAATTACTATGTTAGTATTAGTATTAAATAAATGCAATAAAATGCTAAGTATCCACTTGAAACAAACAAATAAAATGTTATAATTTTCGTCAGTATTGTTATTATTATAATAAATCCTTATTCAGTTTTACGAATAAGATAATTCATTGTGTTTACCTTTGTAAATTTGTACTTGTATCAACAAAGAAATTATGTATACGAATACCTATTGCTTACAAGCTGTCTAGATTAAGTTTAATATTATATATTATTATAATAAACATCGTAGGTACTTATAAAGTTATAACAGAATAATAAATAACAATTAATACAAAAATATTATCTCAAAAATAATAATTATAAATAAATTATTGACTAGATAGTAACAGTTTTAACTAAAACTAATGAAAATATAATTAAATTATTGGCTTTTTTTCTCAGTCTGCGGGCTGGTTAAAATGCATTCGTGGGCCGGATCTAAGCCGTCTACTAAGTAGACACAACGAATAATCACCAATGACCACTAATAAAGATAATGACAAAGCACGCGAGCAAAATTTTCGTAAAATTCATTGATATATTAATTAGTGATGTAATAAATTAAAAAAATGTAGTTTTTTTTCAAAACCTAGACCAAACTTGCTGGTTCTAGAGACTTGCAATTTTGTACAGAGGTCTCTTAAGCAATGCAGGGGTGCGCTTAGAACATTTTTCAAAATTCGACCTCTGAGGGGGTAAAAGAGGTAAAAATGAAAAAATCACCTAACCGGAACCACTGAAGATATGAATATGAAATTGTATCAGTAAGTTCATTTTATAATGCAAAAATCCCTTAAGACAACATTTTTTAGTATTCAAACGCTACAGTGGTTAAAAGGGTTATATAATATAAAGAAGAAAAATGTTTCCTTTGATCGGATTAATATCTGGAACTATTTAACTGATTTAAAAATTTTTTACCATCAGAAAGCTACACAATTCCATGAATCTATAGGCTATATTATATTTTGAGAAGTTGCCCTTGATTTTTTTATTGCAAATTTAAGATTTTTATAGAAACAATAATAATATTAAATATATTTTTTTGTACTATATGGTAGTTATTGGTTTTACAATTTAGTATGGAAGAATAAGAAATTAGCAATTTTTTATTAAGTACCAATTTTAAAAGTTGTTTCACCTTTACAAAAATAAAAATGCGGTAAAATATTTTGATTGAATACAATTTTAGTCCAGTATTTTAAATGACTGTGTTAAAAATCTTTTATGGAGATTAAGATAGGGTAAATCCACGGAAAGTTTCAATCATGACTAGCCAGGTATAAACAACGAATTAACTAAAAATGTTGAATCATTTAGAATCGGTATTTTTAACGGGTAACGAAGTGCACGGTGATCAGCTAGTCATTAATAAATTTAAAACATATTTAATCTATGAAATGAGCCTCTCCATAAAAAAAAAAAACTTAATAATTCATGTCAATCAGTCGCTATCATGTTTATTGAGTTTTTAACGTTAACAATTTAAAAAAATGTGGACAAATGGGTATTGGATTGCTCTGCTGTATAGTAGAGATGGAGAGTAGGTCACTATAATGGATATGTTAAATTTGAATGCAATGATAGGTATCATAGTATATGAAAAACAATTCTGAAAGGAGATGATTTGTTAGGATATTTATACTAGATGGACTACGAACTATGAAACGATACATTCAATGGAGCATTATAGCCGATTTCTATAAATATGAACACATCTATTTCATCTTGAATGTAGATAGTTTGTTATTTATTTGCTTATATTATAAGCGCCTTGCATGATCCTTGCTGCCGTCCGGAACATTGACTGATGAGAGAACCAAATCTCTATGTCGCCCGAATCTTTTGGTGGCGCATCGAATATCCGAGTCGAAGTTCCGGCTTACTCAATTCTCCGATGTCGGATATAACGAGAGGTTACCATTTAGATAGCTCCGTAGACAGATACGTATAGGCAAACAGCAATGTTCTGGAATCGTCGTTCGTCCATACGATCAATTGCGGCGATGCTCGATAAAAGTTGCACCTTGCACATGGGATCTTATCGATCATTGTTCGCTAGGCGGGGATTTTGAATGCCGTGGTTTGAAGTCGTCGCTCGACCATAGATCGATTTGTGGTAATCCTCAAGGGCAGTTGCTCACGGAATCGTATTGGTCGCTATCCGCCGGTCGTGCTTCTTGAGTCTTCGTTGATAATTGGTTGAAGGCTGAAGAACATATTATGAGAGTGTACTGAAGTCTATGCTTTGCTTTGCTTTGTTGGGGTGGCTATGCCATTAACTATACCAGGCTTGCGCCTTTACTAGTGGATGGAATTTGGATGGATAATAGTTTTATTGATTGATCCACGTAAATGAGTAATTTCCTTTTCCTTTGATAGTTGGAGGGGTATGGATTTTTCCTAGAAGTCGAATATGGTCGTGATCTGAGAAGAAACTTTTGTAAAACATTGATTTGGATTGACTCTGAATAGAGGTTTGGATGGATTTGAAGTTGGCAGATTTGAGAAGAACCGAATTTTTAACGATAGTGGGCATACCTGTTATTGTACGTAAACCAATAGTTTGAACGGATTCAATACGCTTCCAGTGAGAGGGACAGATGAAAGGTGCYCAGSAGRAGCCAGCATAGGTAAGAACGGGGGAGATGTATAGTTTAAGTATCTTAAGTTTGGTTGTTAGTGGAATGGGACATTTACGATTTAGTATGGGATAGAGTATACCGCGGGTGCGAGTGGCTTTTTTGATGATATTTTGGACGTGCTGACCGAAGTTTAGTTTGCGCCCAATTGTAAAGCCTAGGTATTTTGCTTGTATGGACCAGTTAACAGCATGATTGTCAAGTAGTGGAGGTGGTACGTTCGTTGTGTTAGAGCGACCAAATATGATGCCTACAGTTTTGGTTGGATTTATTTTAATACGCCACAGGTGGAACCAGGTGGTTGCTAGGTTGAGTTTGTGCTGTAATTGTATAGCCGCACGCCTGGGATTTTTGTTAGAGGTGAAGAACATAGTATCATCGGCRAAGAGTGAGAGGTAGGCTTTTGGAGTTGTTGGTATGTCGTTGATGTAGGACAGATATAGAGTGGGGGATAGACAGGAGCCTTGAGGAACTCCTGCGAGGATATATCTGGAGGATGAGAATGAATCTTCGATTATGGCAGTGAAAGTGCGATCAGTAAGAAAGGATTCGATGATTTTAACGATTTCAGTCGGAATTTTGAGTTGAGAGAGCTTGTAAAGGAGACCTTGGTGCCAGACTCGATCAAAAGTTTTCTCAACATCAAGGAAGATGGCTGCGGTGTTTAGGTTGTTGTTAAAGTTTTGGCTGAGTTGATGGGTAAGTTTGGTTAGTTGTAGAGTAGTTGAATGTTCAGGTCTGAAGGCAAATTGTCTGGGCGGATTTTGTCACAGAGATTGTTTTGGAGGTGGGCGAGGATGAGACGTTCGTAGATTTTAGATAATGAGTATAGCAGCGCAATAGGTTGGTAATTTTCGGGAAGTTTGTGGTCTTTGCCTGATTTGGGAATGGAAATGATAACTGCTTTTTTCTAGGCAAGTGGAAAGTAGCAGATTTTGAAAGAGCTATTGATGATTTTCGTCAGGAATAATAAAATTTTGTAGTTTTGTAGTTTGGTAGTAAGAGCGAAGAGTTTTTAGTTTTGGGTGTGAATACGCTAGCTTCAATTGCGTGTTGTATGTTTTTGGTCAGATAATCGATTGCTTTGTCGATCGAATGACTGTCATTGATCGGTTGAGTAGATAAGTTTGGTAGGTTTTCCTTACTAACCTAGGTTAGGTTAATGATTGGGATTGTTTTGTATTTAGTCCAGTTAATAAAGCGGTTGGTAGCTAGAGGGGAAGACGATATTGAAGAACATAAGGTCTCTAGAAGGATAGGGTTGTGGTCTGAGGAAAGTTCGTTGAGATTGTATATTTGGGTTGCGTAAGGAAGTCGTACGAGAGCGATGTCGAGTACGTCAGGTCTGAGTCTGGCGTTTGTTGGAAAGTATGTGGGGGTTGAGGGAGCAGTGATGGAATAGTCAGATAGTTGGGAATGATCAAAGAGGATTCGTCTATGCYGGATCTTGCTTGTAAAAGTACTACTATCCGTACCGACTAGTAAACACATAAGTTTTTTTTTAAATAGCTTTTAGTAATAAACTATAATAGCTCGACAGTTAATACAGATGATACAGATAAAATTATACAAAATATAAGACTTACTATAATTAATAAAAACAAGAAAAAAATTGATAACAAGAAAAAGTAAGATAAATTAGGTGGCATAAAGCTAGATAATGTAACCACCTTAAATAGCAAAACCAACTTCCAATAGAAAGTTAATTATTTTTTTAATGTCCATTTCAGTCTTAGTATTAAGTATAGAAGGGAGAGTGTGTGGAATTTTTAGAGATTTAATATAGTTAATCAAGGGCGTACGCTTGATATATAAGGAAACACATTAGTTATTCGATCACTTGTGTTTTCTCTCGAGACGGATTTGGTGATATCTCAGCTGTTTTTGGGTTACAACCATGGGGAAGGTATTGTTGTCTTCGTTTTGACTTCACTTATCTATTGATGTACTTT